TTGTTTGCGTTCCTCGTTTCGACAACTGATTATCCTCCCAAATAAAATGGGGCAGAGTATTTGCTGCAAAAGTCAGCTTTCTACAATCATCCACGGAATGAAAAGCTTGTTTGCAAATTCTGTGTGCCTGACTCGAATCCTGGGAATTCATATTGGTCCATACTTGTTAATTTGACCCAATTCTCCGATTTATTGAGGCATTATTCCTTTATTTTTGGATGATGATGCCCTCTTCCGCTTCTTTTTCGGGTTGCATTCTCCTTTCGCTTTATTTTGTCACTTAGTGGATTTTTTGCTGGATTCAGAATGAAGACATTGTGTGGAGCATCTAAAAACTGCTTTCCTTTCTCGGTAACTCTGTACTGCCTCCATACTCTGGTAAATGATTTGCATCTCGTAATGTTAAATTTAATGTCTACATACTCCAAATTAATTGCTTGTCGTAGCAGTATTGACCACCAACCCTGAGACCCTTTATCTTCAATTTGCTTAGAACCAGCAGAATATGTTCGTGTATTTTCCATGAGCTTCTGAAGTTCAGGTAGTGAGAATGCATCTCATTTGCTACCTTGTAACCATCCAATTACAACATCTTCTTTTATCCCTTCCTTATAAGTTTGCAGTTGCCCAAGGTCCAAAATAGCTTGCATAAAAAGGCTGATTGCTTGTGTAGCGTTGAGGTCTCTTTTATCTTTAACTCATTCCCATCCGGTCGAAAAGTAGCAATTTCGAGTGGTGTTGTTTCAAACGCTTATATCACTCAAACTATACATCGCACAGAAACAGAAATTGCATCGTTCGAAAGAGGAGGACTTCTGCTTTCCAACGATTTCATCCGGAGCTTGGTTAACGATTTACTTGCATAAATTTGCATAATTTGCAAATGTATTAGCGGTTCAAATTTCAAATATGTCAAAAAAAATTATGAATATGACTGAAAGACACGGTTATGATCTACAAGTACCCGAAGTTTCATCCATGTAGCGTAAATAGAAATATTTTTATTGAAATATTCCAATATTTCTTACTCTCCAAAGATAGTATACCACCAAAATAAGTCTGTGATACCCACAAAAGAACACTCAAATCATGATTAGCAAAATGCCTTTATTTCTACAATTACTACATACATTCTTAGATAATCATTAAACCATTGACTTTAGTTATTAGTGGCATAACCAGCCTCAAAATTTGGTCATGCTATTCAAATTTGAAATAATCACTACTCATTTGTTTAGAAATTGATTGTTTTCACAATCTAGAACATGAAAATATTTGCAAATAGCATGACCAAGTGTTGTTGGGCTGGCATCATCATAATTAGTAGTTATAAAAAAGTAATGTTTGCTAAAGCAGTAATGTTTGCCAAAGCACATAGTTGGATTATGTGAAAATATTTCCTTTATATTGTACTACAAAAGACCTAAGACTGTAACCAAACTGATGTCAGATCACCACCACGTCATACCCAAATCTGTTGCGATGAATATCTGGACTTCTTCCTGTATAAATTTCAAAGTCGCAATATAACCATTAGGATTGTCTGCAGCAACCCACAGATTTATTCCCCACATAGTAGGTCATCTAGCTTTCATGAACTGCCTAACCCCCAACCTATTTCTTGATTTGACAGTGTGTTTGTCTGCAACAACAATATTCTGTGACGGCTGGTACAGTTGTTGATGCAGTTTATTGCTGTAGTCTTAGTACAGGATCTACCATATTCACAAACGCCATAAGCGCTTTTGTACCTAACCCGAGAAATTATTTCTATTGCCCACAGACCATGATATAAGGTTTTTACACTCCAATAATTTTCAATCTCACTGTCAACCTTTAGCAAACCTGCATATTATACTAAAAGGCAATCAACCTCTCAAGGTTGGTGGACTGCAAGACCCTTCTTTATTAGTATATGGGGATAACTTTTGAGTTATTTGTATGTGGGCATATGTATTGGTATGGCCAGGAAACTACCCCCTGAAGCATTCCCTTAGTAAGAAAGAGTCGAATGAACTCAAGCTCCCAGTTCATTGAGCCGAATGAACTCAAGCTCACAGTTGATCGAAATGGATCCCGGACATGTCAGTGAGGAGCAAAATCTGGGAGAACATTTCTAGCGTCAGGATCATCATATCCGTCATGTACTATGGGGTCTAGTGGGGATGCTAGACAGGGAGCTTTCGAAACCTTAGGTCCTAATGGCTGGGCTTCCCTCTACCTCTACTCATCCCCCTACCTTCCCTCTGGGTTGGTGAGTGGGGTTCTCATGACTCATCAGAACTCTACTTCCCTGAGGCTATGAAACAGGAACAGCAGATAGGAACAGGATCAATATATTCATCAGTGCAAATAAAAACTTTTATAGACATGGTGCCACTTAAAATTATAATAAGAGCCAACTAGTAAGATATAAGTATGAATACTTGGCTATTATGTATGTAACAAACAACCAACATGGCTCAAGGCTCATTTTACTTCGCCTAGGAATCAGAGATTTTTATGCCTAAAACACCATAAATTTTCGTCAACAATATAAATAAGTACCATTTATATTTGTCAATTTCAGTATGAAACGATTATTTCAACACAAAAAAGCGATATGAGGACATACTTGGTCGTACTAGTGAAGCTATACTAAATACAAATAAATTTACTACGCCATGGCAACGGCAAAACATTGAAATAGAAATTGTCTAGAAATTATACAAATACTTGCCTTGAAACTCCAAACACGACTCCCAATGCCAGGTTGAAATACTTGTCTTCATACGGAGACATTCCATCATTACTAGCACTATCAGTTTGCAAAATAAAGCCAAAAACGTCTTCAGAATGCGATTCAAACAAAACTACAACACAATACATTTCAACGCTTGTGCGTTCCCGTGCGCGATAATCAGTAAATTGCTCTAAAAGATTTGTTTTTCTGCCTAAGCCAATCAAAATCCGTATCTAGGGTAAACAAACACTCCGGAAGTGATTCCTGCAGTCTTTTACCAGGAAACTGTAATGCTTTACCAAGAATTTGGCGTCCGAAGTTGGCCGAACACTTTCCAATCACAAGAATTGCCATAATAGGCTTAGATTATTTCGCAATTTCCCAAGACTGCTCCGAGCTATAGAATGGAAGATGGCAATTCTTTTGGTATATTTGTTATTATTATAAGTTGAAAAGAAGCAAAAAGACGAGCATTTGAATCAGGCGGAACATTCAAAATGCAACAGCAAAATTGATAATGTGTCATTTGCATAAATTTCACCGTATTGATCATTTCAAGGTAAGAAATTCGCTTGAAATTGAGCGAGAAACAATAAAATTATATGAATATTTCTGAATATATAGTATCGATCAAGCGGAATTTTTTGGTGGTATTTTCGTATGTCTACTGCAAATACTCGCGAAGTTCTTTAATAATTAATCTTCCCGTCATATACGTCGGAAATTAATATTGGCGGATCGAATTGAGTTAAAGGTTAAAACCATGATCAAACTAATTTTTGTCATATTTCACTTATTCAGGATATATTGAAAGCAATGGAAGTGTGGTGTGATCAAGAAACAGGTACGTTTTTATCACAACCATTACCATCTGCATGACTACCACCTCATCATGTCACTTGTGACAAAGCAACCCTGAGTAGAATAACCAACCAAGCTGTCATGCTCTGTCCTATGGTCGGTGGTCAAAGACAAGCGATTGTTGTGAAAGTCAAAGAGGTTTATCACACTGATGATGAGCTTGAAGTTGGAGATGTTGCTAGTGGAATTGCACAGGAACTGGCTAAAGGCATATATGAGGACGTTCGAGAGAGCTACTTATCCATTGAAGAATCCGTCGTCAGGGCTGCCTGGATGGGGACAGCTTGTGATGGACCTTACCAAGCTAGACTGTTTGCTTCAACACTGCAGCAATTGTTGGATCAAACACAGTACGATGATGTGTTCTTTTCTGTGTTGTGGGATGCTTCCCATTTTGTTGACCTAGCATTCTCGGATGTCTTTGAAGGGGAAGATTGGAAGTTCAAAGGATCTTATTCAACGCCTGGTCAAACGATCCAGCGTAGTTCATCACATCTTTCAGCGTGGGAAAATGCTACCAGCCAAGCATGTAGTACCAGATTTACCACATCGCAGTATGTAGAGTTCAAGAAACTGCTGGCTAGCCTACCACTCTTTGTTACTGTCGTTCCAATTGAAGTGTTCCTCAAACATTGATTCAATACATTACCTCGGGCTGGCCAATTCATTTCATCAAGTTCCTCGAAATATTCATACACTTCCTAGTATAATTGTAAACTTCCTGTTGAATAGTTTGAATGCACCAATCACCTTTTTGTTGTTTGTGTAGCTAACCAATCATAAATAGAAAGGAAGTGACCAGAAATGATCAAATTCTTGGAATTGGCTCTTTCACAGGAAGTGTATGAATATCTCGAGGAACTTGATGAAATGAATTGGTCAGCTTGAGGTAATGTATTGAATCAATATTTGAGGAACACTTCAATTGGAACGACAGTAAGACATTTTGAGAATTTCAGTCGTGTGAAATTAAAGAGTATATGATTGCAGGTGAGGATTTCGTCATGGATCTTTGTGGGGTTGTTGACATTCTACATCCTTTGATCAAGATGTTTGTGGAATTACAAAGTCTGAGTGCCCCTTCTTGGTAAGTGGTTACCTGGTGGGCAAATATTAAAGAGCACATGGAGCAGATGCAGGCCAATTTCTCCCTTACTGCCCCTACTTCCATGTTCCCCATCCTAGAAGCCAACATTGATGACATTCAGTCAGGTGAGTACAAATCTTGGGTTTCTGAATGATTTGAAGTAGTCGGTTGTACCAAAAAAGTAGCCGGCTGTGACTGAGTTAAAAAATCACGCGGGGAGGGGGGGAGTGCCTTTGCATGGAAATTTTAAAATTAACAAATCGAATAATATAGCAAATCGCAAATTAACAATCAAATAATATAGAATAAGTAAAAAGACAAAGTACAACTGTTACCATGTTAGATTTAGATGTCATTTGCATTTATACTTATAAGTGACAATGTCAAACTTTAATGTGCTACTAGTAGTTTTTACATTAACAACCGAAATCATTAATCAAATGATGTTATACTTATATACGTAATGAACTTCACTTTATCACTTCTTCTTTCTTTTGCTATGTTTGGTACTATGTATTATAATTATCTTATTGATCTTCCAAAATAAGTGATGTTTTTCTTGAATTCAGGGCTTGAATTTTATCGCGGCAATTGCCGTAGAGGGAGAACAAGATGCTGTGGATTACTGTCCACTGTGCATTACTATTTTGATACTTGAATTCAGATGTTGATCAAATTATCCGTAAATTACTATTTTAGTCTCAGTTTTCTTCGGAAAAAAAAACACTAAAGAAATACGTAAACATGTTTCTAGCTTTCTAAATTTTTATTACAGTAATTTGAAAAAATGCCATGGAATTGGAAACTGACAAAATTGCCATAGACAGCTGTTATGTTCTATGGCAATTTTTAACGCCATTGCCGTCAATTGATTTCAGGGAAATTCGAGGTCTACTTGAATTCCAATTGGAACATAACAAACATTGTGTTGGTTTGTTTGTACCTTTGCATATAAAATTTTTCCTGTGACCAGACGAAAAGTAGCTGGCAGAACTGAGTTGTTTTTCCAATTTTGAAGAGAACCATTTGAAGGACAAGTCTATCAATTTCAAATATCTTTCCTCATGGCAAGATTTTCTATCTCTAGTTACCGGTATATAACAGACATGTTTTTCCAATTTTGAAGAGAACCATTTGAAGGACAAGTCTATAAATTTCAAATATCCTTTCTTTGAAATTGATACACTTGTTCTTCAAATGGTTCTGTTGAAAATTGGAAAAACATGTCTCATATATACCGGTAAATATAGCTAGGAAATACATAAATTTTCAAGTTCCAAATATTGATATATTTAACTGCCTCACTTCGCAGTCCTATTACATAGCTTTCGCTTTGCATGATAAGCAAGCCACAAAGTTTATGAACATGTTTTCCTAAAATTTGTAATTTGACACATTTGAGTAAATGGCCTTCAGATACAGTATGTTGTCGAGTTTCGGGACAGTACCAGCATGAGGACAGTTCAATTTCATTGCAAAATTTTTCGTTGTAAACAAAAATAAAAAATTAGAACGGTAGGTTCCGATGATTCCTCGATATGTTGCGAAGATGTTGTGGTTTTGGCGCCTTTTTTAAACTGTTTTTCTTTGGAGCTTTAGAATTTTCAGTGAAGGTAAGTCAAAAATTATTTTTCTAAAATTGGGTAGTTTACAGCGCTGTAAATGTAGTGTTGCACTTGAAGAACTAAATTCTTAGAAACTCATCAAGAAAACTGCAATGATTTTCAACTAAAATAGAGATAGAAGGCTTAATTTTTATTTGAAATAAAAGATTGAGCCATTTTTCAAATATTGACGACGTAATGAGGTTTTGAATATTTATGCCATTTTTTCACGCCTTGTCGAGTATCGGGACGCCGACGTTCTGTTATCGGACTGTTATGCAAAAACGGAAAAACTTGGGAAAACTGTTTTTCATTGCAAAAAACGTTCAGGGAAATAAAAAATATAATATATTACATAGTTTAATATATTTTTAGGCTGCTACAGGATTCTAGTGCAACACAAAGTGTATTCTGACCCGTTCTCTTTGCAAAAACTGAGTTTATACTAGCAGAAATTGGCATTTATAATCGGAAAAAAAATCATTTTTTGCTGTTCATAAACTTTGAAATCTGCGTAAATGCTTGTTAACAATTTGAAATATATGCACATTTATTACAAAGAACAATATATTGTAATAACAATAAAAATGATGAATATGAGGTGGTCTTATACATTGAAAACAATCTATATTCTACAGTGTTATTTAGGTTTATACTGTACATCAAATTATAAACTTGGAGGGGGGGGGTGGGTGGGTGGGGGTCATGGTCGAGGGGGTGTTAAGTAGTTTTCTAATAAATAAAAGCCCTGCAAGGAAATGCCAATGATAATGAATTGCTCAGTAACACACGTGGTACAATAATGAACAGAAGAGAATTAAAACCATTTCGAAAAATTAATTGTTTCAAAAAAATGCATAAGATCACCTAAAATGTTGAAATCATGTTATAAAATTATCAATCTTAGCTACTGAGTACTATACATGCTCAGTACAAACAATCCTAAATGTAATTATGAGAAACGTAATTTGTGTAAAATTTCTCAGAAATTTCATCATGTCTGCACAAACTCAAGAAAAATCAGTGAGGTTTCAACAAGCGATGGTAGATGTGCGTGATCGCGGTATGAGTATTAGAGAGGCAGCTGCCAAATGGGAAGTTAAAAAAACATCTCTTCATAATCGTGTAATTGGTAAAGTTGAGTATGATCGAAGATCCGGGCCATCAAGTATCCTGACAAAAGCAGAAGAATCTCGTCTGGCAGACTGGCTGATGGAGGTTGCGCAACGTGGTTTTGGTCTCACCAAGGATGATTTGCTGGATGCTGTTAAAAAACTTGTTGAAGCAGACAAACGCAAAACCCCATTCGTCAATAACCGCCCAGGCAATCGATGGTATAGGAGCTTCATGAAACGGAATCCATCAGTTCGACTTAGAAGTGCACGCCCTCTGGAAAAAAAACGAGCCAAGATTTCCTCTAGAGATTTGGACCAATGGTTTTCTGGATATGAGAAATTCATCCATGACCATGGCCTCGCTAACTGTCCCGCCCAGATCTGGAATTGTGATGAAAGTGGGTTTGACCTCCAGGGTAGAGCTGGCAAGATCTTGGGTCCTTCTGCAGCAAAGGAAAAGCCATACAGGGTATTAACTGGCACAAAAGAGCATATAACTGTTCTACCATGTTTTAATGCGTGTGGACAATGGATGCCACCTTACATTCTTTTTGTTGGTAAAAGAATCCCGAAAACCTACAACCCACTGGATGGAGGTGTTTCCGGAAGTGTGTACTCAGTGACAGAGAAAGGTTATATGGATACCCCTACCTTTTATATGTGGTTCGCCAATCACTTCATACCCCAATTACCACCGCAAAGACCTGTTGTTCTGCTTGTTGATAGCCATGAATCCCATATTGATCTTGAAACATTCGAACTTGCAAAGAAGAACAACATTCACATTTTTGCCCTTTTGAAGAATGCTACCCATCTGGTACAACCAGCAGATGTTGGTCTCTTTGGTGCCATGAAGCAGACGTGGTACAAGCACGTAAGGATCTACAATCAGCAGAATCCAAATACTGACATCACCAAGAAGAATTTCTGTTCGATTTTCAAATCAACATGGGAAGAAGTAATGAGACCATCTATTTTGGTTGATGCATTCAGAAAGTCTGGAATTTTCCCACTTGACAGATCGAAAATTACTGATGACCAGGTAAAGCCATCACTTGTGTATAATACGTCATCTGTCTCAACAACGTCGCCTACATCTGCAACAGCTGTTTCACCATCATCAATCCCAACATCTTCAAATTCTGAACCTCCCACATCTACAGTGTTGACAGCGGCTTCAAGGGAAACCAATCCATCTGGGACAGCATCTTCTTCTCAGACATCCTCCGTTCCATGTGACCCCAAAAAATCAGCATTTGATGCTCTAGAGAACACACTTCAGACACCAACGAAATCGAAATACAGACGGCGTGTAGAAGAGGGATATGATTTGCCTGGTAGCCCCATATTCATGGCCTGGAAGCAACTGTACGAGCTGGAAGCAACTGTACGAGCCTGAAGAAACACAGGATAAAGAAAATCAATTAACGCCTATCATCAGTACAAATGAACACTCCAGCCTATCTCAATCTACTTCAATAATTCCAGTGACTCCACAGCCTTCAACGTCGTCATATTCATCAGTATATCAGACAACCTCGCATCAAGTTTCTCCAGTTCTTGATAATATATTAGTTTATCCATCTACTAGCGACCACACTAAAAAAGCCAAGAACAAAATCTCAGTCCCAAACTTTATGACAGGTGAGGCCTCAATGAAGATTCTCCTCGACGAGAAATTGAAAAAGTCAAGGGAACTTGCAGAAAAGCAGAAGAGATTAAGAGAAAGAGAAGAAAAGAAGGAAGTGGAAGAAAAGGAAAATGGAGGAAAAGAAAATGTTAAAGAAACCAAACAAAACAAATGCAAAACGGAAGGTTGCTAAAGTTCAAGAGAGGATGGAATGTGATGAGAACACATTCAAAATATGTCTTGCACAGTACATGCTAACTGACAATGAAGATTTCCCTTGGGTTATGTGTGATGGATGTAAATTTTGGATGCATATTGAATGCATTCCAATTGGTGTTGATTTAACTCCGATTGACGAAGACAAACAGTTCTTTTGTCATGACTGCACATATTAAATCAGAACAAAATAATGTTGAGTTTATAACTATATAATTTTATACAATGACTGAAATGTACAATGGCTAAAATGTTTTGTTAAGTTGTATGTAATAATAGACTAATAACAGACTACATATGAAGAGTGTATATTTAATATAAAAAAATTAGCACTTTATAAGTGTTATCTAATCAGTGCTGCAAAATTACCGTCCAAAAGAATTAATTACAAATAAAATTACTGTCTTTAAAATGTAATTAATTACTGATCACAATTACTTCTTCAGGAAAGTAATTAATTACAGTAACAAAATTACCATTTAAAAATGTAATTAATTACAAATTACTCAACGGTTATACACCCATAAATTATGTTTTGAATCGATCTATTTCAAAAACGTAAAGTTTATACGGTATATATACGGTAAAAATATATACGGTTTTCTTCGGTTTACACAAAAGGCACTCGAACGAGAGGTGGTTGTTGCGTTTACAACAAACACTAAAAAATGTATTCAATTTGGGCCATGGAGATTCCTCTTTTCCCGCGTTGAAATCCTGCACAGCGGCAGATTTACTGCCTTCTTGGTCTTGAAGGTCTTCCGATTCTTCTCCACTTATACAGTTGACTCTGGTTCACTGGGCCCGGCTGGCTCTATATTCTCTAAATCCACAAATTGTTGTCTACAACATGGTCTACCATATTATTCATTCGACGTTCAATTTTTCATATTAGCATTTCGCAGTCGTTCAACCATGGCGGCAATGTTTTTCACTATATGGCACTTATTAAATTATTATTAGTTATTAAATTATTAAAAGTTATTGAAAATTTTCCGGATTTAACAAAAATGGAAAACAAAGCATTTTTGAAAGCGTTTTTAAATTATTTGATCAAAGGAATTTGAAATTTTCATTCCTTAAAGCAAAAGGAACGCGTTCCTTTGTTTTGTAATTAATTACAATAATTCGTTCCCTTTCAAAAATGTAATTAATTACAGGCCAAAATTACTGCAAACGTAACGAGTAGCCTGTAACGCGTTACAATTGTAACGAGTATTCACAGCACTGTATCTAATATAATGACCAGCTTTTTTTGATTAATTAATATAATTATCCCAAAAGGGGGGCTTACAGGCTATCGTTTATTATGTTGTGATATAAATTCTCTGTTTTTCTTACCCAATAGAATGGTTAAAATTATTATTGGTAACGCAGTTGTGAAAGGATATCACATTTTCCAGATTCGACCTCCTCCTACTTTGTACCTTCCCGTCACTAAGGAATATGGTAACACCCATGATCCAAATGCTTGTCTTGTTTGGGTACCAGAAATTGGGTCCATACCACAACACATGATAAACATTGTGACTGATATTAAAAGAGGTGAAACTGTGCACACAATCGCCGGGCTTCCTATTGGAAGAGTACCAGAAGGGTTTTCGTTAGTCTTCACTGACTTACTAAGTTCGTCAGCCGTTGATAAAATTGAATGGTAATTAGATACATTATTTACTATTTACTAGTTAATTTCAATATTATGAAGTCAATAATCACTCAGATAAGACCATAGGGTTAGACAGAGCGATACACAGTCCTTGTACGTACTATTATTACAGTATTAACCAATAGTACAGGTATTAACCAATAAATGATCACATTTTGCAGCCTACAGACAGGAAAACCATGCCAAAGCTTCTACCCATGGCTGGCTGTACAAACATGTGGGGGAGGAGCTGTGATACCTTGCCAGTATCACATCTCTGTCAATAAAGCCAAAGATATGGATGATGTGCTTTGGAAAATTAGAGATGCCATCGACCAAATGGCAGAAAAAATAACATTGACCATAACTAAACTTTTGTAAATATATGTACATTAAAATGTGATTAAAGTTCAATATTTAGCATAAAAATTTAGCTTTCCTGGGCGTCAATTCACGATCATTTACTGCGCATGAGTTGCTGTCCATAAACTGGACAAGCTGTTCGGAAACTGGACACGAATGTTGCTCACGATTTTGATCAAATGTGCATAAAGTAAGAATGCTCTGGATTTTTGCTTTTAGTACATGTTTCCAAATGAATATTGCTATAAATTGTGAACGTTTCATCCATCTAGCGATCTTTAAAGGTGAGATATAGCGAAAAAACTACTTTGTGTCCCGAAACTCCACAACATACTGTACAAATGGAGAAAAATTTCATGTCCATGCTTGAAATACACTCTTTTGAAATGTGTTTTTATTTCTACAGAAAGGCAAGTTTTACCATATGTAATATTCGTAAATTTCAGGAAATTTAACATGCAATTTTTCAATTCGTTTTGTTAAATTAAAAATTATGGACGCCATGTTGGATTTTTAGTTCACTCCCTTCTTCTCCAATTTAGTTGTTGTTTGAAGAACGCCATCGCGAAGTAATATATCGGTAGGGAAAGAAAGAACAGTTTTATTGATAGTTATTGTTGTCATTGGATTATTAATCTTCAGAAAATACATTTGTAAGGTGAGAAACGTTCTAGATAAACGGTTGTTATGGGACACAGACTTGAAAAGCAATTTTATCTGCTTTGAAAGTTTGGGCAAATTTCGACTTGTTTACTAAGTGATTGCATAACATTATTTCACTTTGTAAAGCAATATTACATTTGTTACACTATTAATAACTCTGCACAAAATTTGACTAACAGCAATACACTGATAAGTTTATATCAGAACCCTTCCAAAACTTGTGAAACGATATGCTAATTTGCAAATGCTGCACAATCATGTATCTTAATTCGCAAGTTGTCTACGCTATTCAAGCGTTAAACATGTTGGTTTAGGCTTTTTAAAATTTACCATTGCCATCTTTCTTGCAAGTAACATATATTCTGACACTTTTTTCACGTGATAAAATTTGTTATTACATTGTCCAATGTGCCACTAGGCACAGAGTGTACAATATCACAACTAAGGTCTTGAGGGTCGTATACATAGCTTGTGCTTTCAAATTCCTTTTATTAAGTGCCATTAAAATATGGCAAGGGCATTTCCATGCAACAGAAATGAAATGCAAGACATATATAGAACAACATTTCTGGTTTTTAACTACAAGAACCTTTCAACAAAAATACTGTCTTTCCAACAGCAACTTCTCACACGTAAAACAAAGGAAACAACTGAGAGAGAAAAGTTTCTCTCATTGGCCAATTTATAATGTGCAAACAAGTGCTTCTGGTTCAGATCGTATAACTGCAATCTCTTCTGGCTTGACATTTTGGGCTGAGAATGCTAACTTCTATGTATGCCAGCAATGCAATTCAGTTATACCTGTTACAATGCCTTATATAACTTCGTAAAAAGGCCAAAGCCAAGCACTAGAAATAAATGTCAGTGTTTAAACTTAAGGTACCATGTGCCACGGTTTAATGACATCCCACGCACACTGTTAAATCTGTCTACTGAATGCATACATGCGCTTAGACCATTTCACCTTGATTGTGGCATATACAAAAGGCAAAGCCATGGCTACCATATCAAAACTGGAATGATAAAGTTAGAGGTTTCACAAAAGTCCGTTTTAGACAAAATAAGAGATCTCCCTGATAGTAACGACCGTAGAAAATTCCGGATTGCATATCAGTACCTCACCAACTCATCAGACTCCAGTTATTCTCACTTTATTCAATTACGACAACAAATTGTTGAAGGGGAAGGTCAGTTAAACTGCTTTGATTTTTCAGCTACTGTTGGCATTGAGTGCACCCTGTGGCCTAATATCTATCCTTTCACCAAATGGTGCGAGAGTACTATATCTGGCAAGCAAATTAGACTAAGTCCAAAGAAAGCTTTTTCTACAAAGGTTTTTTCTGAAATCACAGACTATGCTTTGCACTACGAACTTCTTCAATGGCAATATGACAGAGCCCTTTTTAAAGTTGTTAGTGGTGCAATTAATACGGCCTGTTTTAGCAATTGCTCGCCAGCAAGAGCTCTTGACACAAAACCTTTTTCAAAAACATACTGGCAATGGCAGCACAGATACCTACTCGATGCAGTAGAACAGTTTGGCCTTCCAGATGCGTTCATAACAATAAGCCCTTACGAGTGGTCTTTCCCTTTTGCAAAGTGGGTGTATTGTGCAAGGCAATCTACTGGAATGGGCCCAACACAGCTTGCAGCTTATGAGACATTTAACATTACACACACATTAGAGCAAGTAGTTCGAGGATATTTGTGTGGCAGCACTAGCCAGAAGTGGAGCCAACATGTATTCAATTACAACAAAATTGCCACAGAAAAGAATGTGAAGACATTCTTTTACTGCTTTGAGTTCCAAGAGAGAGGAACAGTTCACTTACATATGCTTGTCTGGCTTAAAAACATTACTAAGGCAGATCACCAACTTTTACGTGCGGATATTCCACATTCACATCCTGAATTAGCTTTCTTAGTGCAGAAACTCCAACCATCAGATAAAAAATCTCACTGTTTAAATCTTCAATACGAAGGAATCATTCTTTCGTTTTGAAAACGGCAAGCACGTACAACATCTCAAGCATCCCGCACAGGAATTTGCATGGCTATATTGCTACGATAATCCCAACATTTAAAATGTTGTATGGATTACCAGACAACTGACAGGGTTGGCATGCTGCTCCGCTATGTCACATCTTATGTCACATCTTATGTCATCAAGTTGCATGATTGTACCACAACTGACGGCATGTATTCTTACAAACTTGAAGGCAGACAAGCTGCAATGGGATATCTCATGCGTAATATGCCAGCTGAACCTGAAATGTGGTTTTTCCTTTTTTCTAAAAAAGTCGCATGGTGTGGTAGTCGAACAAAAATAGTTCCTACTAGTGAAAATGCTTCTAATGATAAGACAGTCCAGAAATACTGGAAACGCACTAAGCAGTGTGAGAACTTGACAATGGTTGAATGGCTTCGTCTCTTTGACACAAATAAAACAAATCCGAAAGCATACAAACAAGGTTCAACCATTGTTGGCACAAAAACATTGTCACTCTTCAACAAGGAATATTTCTTCCAATATGTTTTGTTAAATTTGTCACATACGAATGTCAATACTCTTCGTCACCCCAACCATGAACAACTTCCAAACCAACTACAGTGGTTTGCTGCAGCTCTTCATCACTTTCCTGAACTTTGGACAAGGGATGACAAATTAAAATCTTGGCTAATAACACAGGGCCATTGTGAGACTTACATAACGTCAATTTTATCATATATTGCCAGCTTACGTGACCTCCTCTATCTCTTTAGAATTCAAGTCATTCGTAATGAACAATTACAAACTGTGCAACAGTTTCCTCAAAGTTCATTTACCCTCAATAGCTACCAACTGGCTGTATCACATCACATAGACAAAGCCGTTCATTCAAGACAGCAATTTTACACTAATAACACTTCATTAAACTCCTATGAATACATAAGTGATAGCAATAGCAACACTGATAGTGAAAATGATGATCACACCAATTTCCAACAGTCTGAACAGCCAAGCCAACCAAATGTCATGAATGTTGATATGCCACATTGTCACAACAGTGACATTCGATGGGAAAAACCCATTCTTCTCATAGGAAAGGCTGGTTCAGGAAAAACAGAAACAATATCTCAATGCGTTTACAAGTATGTCCAAATGGAGGAAAATATACTCGTAGCAGCCCCAACTGGTTTCCTTGCTACTCTTTTTCGGGCAATTTTACCTGAAGAAGTAACTTGTGAAACAGTCCACTCTGCATTTCACATACCCATAAATGTGAACGAACAGCCTTCCACAAACTGGAATCTATCTCATTATGACATAATCATCATTGATGAGATATCCATGATATCAGAAACCAATTTCCAACATGTATTGGACACGTTGAACAGGTTGATTTTTAGACCAGTTCTCGTTGTTTGTGGTGACTACGCTCAACAGCAACCATTTGAAAAATTAACAAATCGCACAGTCAATGTTTCGAGTCCATTGAACAACCAATCGGTCCTAGCTTCTGCTTACAAGTACATCCTGAATGGACAACATAGAGTTGGTGATAGTGATTACTTAGAATTTCTCAATCACATTAGGCACTGGATACCCACTGAGGCTTTACTACAGCAAGTCCAGGAAGGACGAGTATTGTGCCCAGATGGAGTACTAGACCCACGGCGAGTCATCGAAGCATTTCAGGCGAATCCCGACTCAACTCTTTAACTTTTACTAATGACGTAGCTAACAAGCTAAACACTTTAATAACATCAAGCCTGTACACGAATGCCCAACCACTCGCTTATATTCAGTTAGACAGTGAAATGGACATTTCACCAATTTATAAAGGTATGAGAGTAATGATAACACAAAACCGTGACAAGGCACAAAATGTTGTAAATGGCAAGTGTGGAAATTTGCCATAATACCACTGTTATTCTCAGACTTCCAGGAAACAAGTTGGTTGCAACATATCCAGTAACTTTGGAAATGGGAAAAAGACTACCTACCCATTCCGTATTGGTTATGCTAACACAATGTGCAAAGCTCAAGGTCAAACATTACAAAAAGCCATTTTGTGGTTTGACAAAGATAACATTCCACCAGGCACAGCATATGTTGCCCTCTCCAGAGTACGAAAACTGACTGATGTGGTTTTCCTTACTCCTCTTAAGACATGCTTATTTAAGCCTGTCCCACACCCATTCTGAACCACAGTTCAAACATTTCCATTTTTCTAGCACAAACGAAATAACTATTCTTTTATATTCTCGACCATTTGCGAAATAATGTGTGAACAATCAATTATTGTGTGTTATGTTTATTCTATATTATCCTGTTGTTTATTCTATAATGACAGTATTATAATAATAAATTAGCAAGCCAGTTCACCATTATTGCCATGAAACTTTCAACTTCCACATTACATTGGTAGAAACCACGCGCAGTATTTGCATTTCATTCTGAATGTATATTCTCCTTATACCCACAGATGTACAAGCAAAACCGTGGTACTCCAGAAAAACCGAAAGCTGTGAGTTATTTCAATCAGTTCCCGTCAAATTTTTTAAAACCATATGGAAGAATGGATTCTGCCCCAGATGATGATACGATCTCGAGGAGAACAAACCCTATCTCCTGTGAATGGTTCCTACACCCATGAGTCGCCATGAGCTAATTTGCAGAAACCATGACCGAAAACTTGCAGTTGCTCCAAGATAAAAAAATTACAATGGTAAACACGTCCAAGATCGCCACAATATCCGACAGTGTTACACCAATGCTTCATGCACTTACTCATTTAAACACGAAAACGAAAGACGTTCCAACTAAACGAGACATCCACACAGTGATGACGTACCTCTATGATAATGAACAAGCATTGGACAAGTCGATTGAAGAAATGTTTGAAGTCAGCAGGGCAATGTTTGCCACTGCAATTCAGTACATGGTAGCAAGATCCATTATTAGTAAAGTTGGCTGACAAGCTGGCACTGGAAAACGAAAACACCAAACGTTCAAGACAGGAAAAGATGTGAAAGCTCTCCGTTGCTTCCTAGAAAAAGAATGTTTAGAGAATTGCCCACAGACATCGAGCGGAAGTTCCAACTTACACCCAAGACGAGCACTCCTCCAGCAACTACAAGCTGATGATAGTGAGGATGATCATGATGTGGCCCAACAAGCAACAACAAGCGTACGAAAGACACCCAAGAGGACCGTATCTGAAGATAGTGAGGCATCACCATCACAAGAAGTTGAAGAAACCACTGCTCCTAAGTGGACAAAATCCAAAAAGAGCAAGAGCAAAGGACATTTTGACTTATCAAATATATACAAAGATTCCATTACTAAAATTCGATTATGAAGACCCAATCAAAGTGCTCGGAGGCCGTACGCTTCCCGAAGACCCAGAATGGATGAAGAAGAATCGGAAAGTGAACTATCTTTTTCACTAAGTGACTGGGATACTTGGTTTGGCAACAGTGATGAGTCAGACGAATGAATTCAAACGATATAAACGAACATTAAATTCTTAAAGTAGAACCTGTTGTGTTTATGCACAGTACTTTACACAAAGACGTTTATATTCCAGCCGTTATGTTCTATCTCCAATATAAAGAGCTAAGATTGACCATTTTTTTATGCATACACTTAGGCCTCTTTTACTGTACACAAGCAAGTTTTATTTGCCTGTGTGTATGGAGAAATGTTGCAAGTACGTTTTTCTTTGACAAGTTTATTTGTTGCCATATTTCTCCATCACACACCGGCAAATAAAACTTGTTAAAGTAAAACTTGGCAAAGAAAAATTGCTCGTATAGACGATCTAGGCTTTAAGGCCTATACCGTCACCGATAGGCAAGGAACTCTGCTCCTGATTTAAATTTTCTACCATGTTTTGTAGCAAAATGTTCTAATATAACAAATTAACAGTTTTATTAAGATTTAAAACTCGCGCTGGCGCCGCGTCCTCAAATCGAGTGTGGTGTGGCCGTGTGTGTCAGCGTACATTTGTTCTAACTTTGTAGGTTTCTATATAGGACATTTCCATGTAAATAGAGATGTATGACGTTTGTGATTTCATGTTTTGTATTAACTTTCATCGATATAAATGTTTCTAAAGTTATCTCATGCAGTATCACGTAAAAAAATATAAAGAAAGTTGGCCGACCATTCTTGGCAAAGGTCTGACCAGTTGATCGGACATTTGTCCGACCAAAGTGAAATCGTTATAATCCACACTGATATTTATTGTAACTGGGTTTAGATATCTGTTGGTCATTTATTTCTATAATATTATATGGCATTATGTAGAAATAAAGAACACAAATAATTAGAACATTAACAAGTGTATAAATGTAGGTTAAAAGCCAAGGGAGAGGTTTTTATTAAACTGTGAAGTTTACAGTTTAATAAAAACCGATACCCGCGGCTTTTAACTTGTTTATATACTCATCAGACCATATTCTTTTGAATTTTGGAGGTTTTCTTCATTAAAAATTCAAGCTATATTAATTCAATGAGAGGTCGCTGTAGTTGTGGGACGAAATAACTAGGTGTAACATGCGCATTAACACGCTTTAAAATGTGGTTAAGCATGCGCAGTATATCATTTCACATCCCACAAGCAAAAGAGCAGATATTACTGTATAAATTCCCTGCACAAGCATGTTTGATGGTTGACCCAGCTAGTCCTCGTGCGCCGAATGATAGATACTCTTACCTAATGGTAGAGTTTTGACAGGCTCTGAGGTACACGGCTGTTGTCTCTTTCTCGACTTAGAGACGTGCAACATTTTCTAGTCGAAAAGGAGATGTGGGTCTTGAGTTTTCCTGCAAATTCAAGTCCCGAATTCAAGACTCATGCCAGGTCTTGAATTGAAAATGTAAACCAGGTAACTGGTTATTATTTTTTCGTAATAACTGGGTAGCAGGTTATTACGGAAAAATAATAACCTGGTAGCAGGTTATTACGGAAAAATAATAACCTGGTAGCAGACTAGCAGGTTATTATTTTTCCGTAATAACCTGCTATCCGGTTATTATTTTTCCGTAATAACCTTCAACCCCGTATTTCCCCCCGGAGAAATCAAATACCACCGCCTGCTTTTAGATTGAAGGTTATTACGGAGGAGTTAAAAACCGACAAAATACAAAAGAATATGGTCTGATGAGTTTGTAATTGTAGATGCTCTATTTTCAAAGTGGGATCAAGCATTTGAAAACCTGTTAGGTTAAGAAATTTTAACTAAGATAACCCTGCCTCGTCCCCAGGTGTATTTATGAGTGCGGTCGTGAGTCGCACAGTGGGCAAATGGGAAAGCGGCAAGTAAAAAGTGCACTCGTGCCAGCCCATCATACCTTGCGTGTGCTTACCACCTTTCCAAAACGTGTGCCTGGAGACGAGGCAGAAGGATGAGATGACTAACAAATTTGAGGATAATGATTGAGGAGAACTCTCAAAATGCTGGAAAAGCATTTCTGGGGACCCCCCCCCCACGCAAGGACAACTGCAACCGCCGTGTAGTGCACCGCGGTCACCAACTGGTGCACAATTATTTGCGTAAAATATACTGGCGCAAATATTCGGCGTGACAAATACGAACTTTCCAGTATGGGACCAGATATACAAAAATAAAGTGGACATACAGTTGCATAGGTCTAATGTTAGGTCGGATGTAAATACATTTTCACTCAATTATTCCATCTTCAAAATCCTTCAACTCTACGTAAAGAGACTGAGTTTCCATTCCACTGTGTTCTTGAACTTCCATTGTACAAATTGTGGTGGGAGACAATCCTTGAACAATAGATCTCAACAATAGCACCCATTAATTTGCAGTGAGAGCAATGTCAGTGACTACTATAGACTATAGTAATATAAAATAGTCCAGCCTGTTTTCTGTGTTAATTGTAGTTTATACCTGCCAGTTGATAGGAGCAATATAATATGTCAACAGTTGTAATATAATATGTCAACAATGGGCTTGCTTCTTAATTTACCAGCGTAATGGTATATTAAAATTCAAGATCTGTGTAAGCATGTTTGAAAAACGTATAAACAGGTTTATAAACACACTTTTAAAAACTCATTAATAATTCATGAAGCAATTATCCAATAAAACCTAAAACCTTTAAACCTAATAAAACACTCCTGCTCGTTTTTTAAATAGTACATAAAGCTATACAGGGTGTCTAAGAAAAATGCTATGGAAATTCAACAGGTTGTGGTGCATCATAAATGTGGCTAAACAATTCAATTTTTACAAAGGATGAAAGAACAGTTATTTAACTTTTTAATGATACTCTTTAAATCTTAACAATGAGAAATATGGCTACATGCCTGTCAAACACGCGTTGCTTTTGAATTGATTAACTTTGCATAATTAATGTATTTTAAATTCTCAACGGTGGATGATTGTGATTTTGACCAGCAACTTTTATTTGATGAGTATGTGGCCATTTCTCAATGTTACAGTTTAAAAAAGGTATCATAGAAAAGCTAAATAATAGCTCTTTCGTCCTATGTAAAAATTGAATTGTTTACCTAAGTTTGATGCACAACAGTCTGTTGAATTTCCATAGCGGTTTTGTTGAGACACCCTGTATATGAAGCCAGGGGCACACATTAGGGAGTATGGGTGTGGGAGGGTGTGACACCCCCCATGTTTTATGAAATATGTGGGTCTGGCTAAAATCTTAAAGGCATTATCATTTTGTGTCAAGAAAAAGAAATAGGTGTGGACATTTTGGAAATGGAAATTACATAAAAATAACAAATGCATACACAAACCAAGATATCAATCATATACTGGCAGCAACAGTTCAGCCAACGTAATGCGATCAGATTACCTCGAACCCTGCAATGCAGTCAAAATGCGCATTGTTAGTTTTGTCACAGAAACTGAAAGTCTGAAACACCCCCCCCCCCCCCCCCAACAGGCAGAAGGACTGCCCCTGTGAAAAGCTGAAATCCTGGCAGAATGGGGGGGGGGGGTACGATGTGTGAGTAATGATACCCATTTCTTCTGTCTACCAATTAAAGTTGTAGATCCTAAGCGCTTTCATGTCAGAAATAGTTGACAACAAAAACAACAGCATTTTTGCACAGATACAAGTATACTTATTTATATAAAAAATGTTTGTGACTGCATGGCACAAATACAGCACTCTGGTGTTCCATCAGTTTTGGGTGGGCCTTTATAGATTGTGCTCGGCAACTTGTGAGCAACTTTTGACTGTTTGAGCACCAAATGAGCAACTTTCAACCTTTTTAAGCACAGAATGAACATTTGGGGATATAAAAGATTAAATCAAATATTTAATTTAATGAAATAACAAATTTTGACAATAAAGAATGTCATAGGCCGTAGTAATCTTTGTTAATGTGCGCCCATGAATGCTATGGGACAATGGACTGCAGTAATTATTTAAAGATGCCTGCGAACAACGATTGAAACTTACAGCGTTATTCAATGAGATGTAAATAATGAACAAAAAAGGATAAAATTGCATATTTTCATCCATGGCAGAGCACCACCATTCAAGCGAATCTAACTCCTCTGATTCTGACATTGAAGAAACCGATGTTATTGATCCAATATTGGTAGCCACGAATGCTGGAGCAAGCCTAACTGTTCCACAAAGCGCTTCAATTTCTCGTAAGCGAAAAATACATGTCAACCAAGGCAAATACAAAGGAAGAGGAAGCAGTTTGTCTGCAGTCAAGAGTGTAAGTACTTGGGACAGGTTGAAGGAATATCCAAATCAATATTTGGCAGTGGTGAGTGAACCCTCCGTTGTAATGCCTGTAGTGAAATGCTTTCCTTGAAGAAAAGTTCACTTGACAAACACGTCAAGTCAAGCAAGCATACCAGAGGAATTTCTCGTATTTCGAAAGATAAGAAAGAGAGCCAGTCAATCTTACAGTGTTTGCAAAGAATTGATACGCAAGATCATGGAAGCGGGTCGACTTTACCACAAGATATGCGACTGTTTCGGTTTGAGATAGTTGAGTGTCTTCTTTCTGCAGGCATTCCTTTATCAAAAGCTGACATTCTTCGTCCTATCTTAGAGAAGTATGGTCACAGATTAACAAGTTCCTCCAACCTTTCTGAGCTTATCCCAGCAGTGCTGGAAAAAGAAAGAGAAAAAATCAAGAATGAGCTCCAGGATATCAACGAAGCATCTATCATCTTTGATGGAACTGCGCGATTGGGTGAGGCCCTCCCTATTATAATTCGGTTTGTACAGGGAGACTATAAACCTACACAGCGCCTAATACGACTGGAAGTGCTTGCAAAGTCACTGAAGGGTGCTGAACTTGCTCAAAGGTTGATGTCGTGTCTTGCTGTTGAGCATAAATTTGGACCGAACATGCTAATTGCTGGAATGAGGGATGGAGCGTCAGTTAATGGAGCTGCCTTAAACCAACTGAAATTTTTCTATCCCAACCTAATGGACATTGTGTGTTTTTCGCACACAATTGACAATGTTGGTGCGCATTTTGTGTTTAGAATCCTGGATTCATTTACACAATATTGGGTTAATCTATTTGCGCATAGCTACAATGCTAGTCTTATTTGGAAGGAGAAAACCGGACAGTCGACGCGTTCCCATAGTACTACTAGATGGTGGAGCAAATGGGAAATTCTTCAACAAGTTCTACTTTGCTTTGGATTTGTAGAGCCTTTTCTACAAGAAAATCAGGAATTGTCCAAGGCAACTCGACAACACTTGCTGGAAATTTTTGATGATCCCCAAGATGTCCAAGACCTATGCTTGGAGCTTGCTGCAGTAATTGATGCTGGGGTCCACTTTGTGAGTGCAACGTACTATCTCGAAGGTGATGGGCCCCTAATTTTTTCGTGCTATGAAAAGCTTTCTGCAGTTTCTCGTGTAGTAGCTGTTCAACATTATCCTAATACCGAAGCAGTTGCTTGTGAAATTGCCAATGGTAATCATGAAATGTACCAACAGCTTATAGCTCAAGCGAAAGCATGTATTCAACCAGGACTTTATTTCTACCAACAGAAGTTCAGTGTACAATTTCACAGTACAGTTCGAGCTTTCAAGGCTGCACGACTCTGTTGCCCCATGCAAGTACAGCATCTAAACCCAACAGCTGCCTCCTTGGAAGAACTTAGAAACTTCCCATTTCTTGATGATGACAATGTGATTGCCAACTTAGCACAAGAGCTGCCTAATTACCTTGCTGCAGCAGATAGTGTAACCATGACAGATGATGATGACAAGTTGGCATGGGTGGGCAGGCCACAGCGAGACTCTTCCCAACTGGTCATCTCTGGTTAAGAAACTGTTGCTTCTTCAACCAAGTTCAGCTTCAGCAGAAAGAGCTTTCAGCCTTATGAACAGTGCGTTCAATGCCCAACAAGACTCTGCCCTTGGAGATTACTTTGAGGCCTCAGTTATGATAAGGTACAATAGTGCAAAGAGATAGTAAGCAATACAAACTACCTACCTACAGGGTGTGTAAAAAGCGAGACATTTAGAAGTCAGAATTAACCTAATACCTTCAGCAATTTCGCTTTGTTTCACATATATGAATACAAATAGAAGCTATCTTAAATGCCTAAATGTATAAGATTGTGTGTTTTTCTGAATATTCTGAATTCTAAAGTCTCTGATACACCCTGTATAAAGGGCACATAGCACATAGGGACATTGTATGATAGCACAGACATAGCTGTGTGAAATAGATTCCAACTGCATATATTCATTAGACACTGAGCTTATTCAAGTGTTTTAATATTATGTTCTATTACTATTACTATTACTCAAAGTTTAAATTTTATATTCTATTAATACTATTATAGTTCTAAGTAAAACTTATGTTATTTTGTGTTGTTTATCAATAATAACGTTGCGACAAAGCTAGCAACTTTTTGAATTTTGGGAGCAACTTTTTGAATTTTGGGAGCAACTTTTTTCAATTTTGGCAACTTTTGAGCAACTTTTCCCCATTTTTGTGAGCAACTTTTGCTCAAATTGGTAGCACAATCTATAAAGGCCTAGTTTTGGGACCTTGTTTATATCTAATTTACATTAACAATATAACTGATGACCTAGAATCCTGTCCTTTTATTTTTGCTGATGATACTGTCCTTTTCGAAGTTGACGATAATCTGACTGGCTTTGCAGAACTATTAAATAATGATATAAATAAGATTTCAAAATGGGTGGTTGGTGACAATGAACCCCTCAAAAACTAAATCTGACATTTTCCAACAAAAAAGAGAAAGAAAATCAACCAGTACTTTCAATGAGAGGCTGTCCTCATGGGCGTACTGGAAGGAAAAATTTAGGGGGGCAGAAAGAAATTTGCCCAACTTTTCCGGATTTTGCCCGACAAGTACCGTGCCCCCCCCCCCCGCCAAAAAAATTTGGGCCAGTGTACCATTTTAGGGGTCAAAAATTTTTTCCAGACATACCAAAATTTTCTGGAACCTAACAAAAATTTTCAAAAATCACTAAATTGACCACAAAATTTACAGAATTTGTCCCATTTATTTTTTTAATAAACCAAAACTGCCCGACTATTCAGCGAATTTTGCCCGACTGCCCAACAAACTGGGGGGGGGGGAGCTGCCGCCCGGTACGCCCATGGCTGTCCTATTGATGAAGTTGTCTCGCACACTCATCTGGGTTTGACTTTTCAAAGTAATATGTCTTGGAATAAGCATATTTTATCAGGTTATGAAAAGGCATCTCAATAATTAATATGTTAAAGCCATTGAAGTTCAAAATTGATAAATCAACTCTCGCTTGTATATATAAATGTTTTATTCGGCCAACAATGGAGTATGGCAATATTATTTGGGATAATTGTACTGCCGGGAATAGTGAGTTACTTGAAAGTGTTCAGCATCAGTCATCTAGAGTTGTTACTGGGCCATTAAAGGCACTGGTTCGAATAGTCTTTGTCTTATAGAATAGTCTTTGAGCATAAGAAGAAAAATTCACAAATTATCTTATTTTTATAAGATAATTTATAATCGTACTTACTAAAACATCAAACGACCCACAACATCCCGAAAATTACCTTCAGTTGCAATTTTGCATGACAATAAACAATATAAGTTATTGTTTGTGGATACACCACATATTTTATTATTGCAAAGCTTTCGATCCTAATCCCTATCTTCACGCGAACCGGTGTGATTTAAAACACGGAGAATAAACGAGCTAGTAAGGGTTACTTTGGTGCATAACATTCGGGACATACACCACTGTACTAATAAATATATTTACTTTCAGTAAAATATGAAAACAATATGAACACAAAAGCAAAAATAAATGCAAAAATTAAATGAAGCTTGCGCAGACGGCAGAACAACACGAAGACAGACGATGTTCGTAATGACTACAGAATTTCTCACATAGTGCAAAAGAAATTAAAGATCTGTTTTTAATGACTAAAATATTTGGCCGAAAAATATTGATAACTATTTGGAGTTGTACACACCAAACACACCTTTTTCATCCGACATGTTTAATAATCAACATGTGATCAAAATTGGCGGGAAATGCAAAAGTTGCACATGGTTTTGGATTGTTGTGGCTGGTTTTGGGGTCGTTGTGGGGTCGTTGTAGATCGTTGTGGGTCGTTCCATGTTTTAATAACTACAAATTTATAATTATGTTCCTCTATATTTAATTGAGCTTTTACCAAAATTGGTTAATGAAAGATCTTATATTCTGTTAAGGTCGTGTCATAATACTGGTCAATATAAGTTTAGAACTAAAAAATTTAAGAAATCATTCTTTCCTTCCACAATTCTCTTGATATAGACATTTGAAATTCAACTTCTCCTTCAAACTTTAAGTTGAAAATAAATAAGATTTATCATCCGCTTTGTTATAACAAATGGTTAAATTTTTCTCTTACAAGGAAGGTTTCTGTTTTACATACAACACTAAGATTAGGTTTTTGTGCACTTAATGACTATTTGTACAGAATTAATTGTTGTAATTCTCCTTTATGTATATGTTGCCATAAAAATGAAGCAGTTAAACATTATCTTTTATCATGTCCTTGTTTGATAACGTAATGATCAAACTTCTTACCTCTGCTGCACAAGTTTTTGTGGAAAAGCATGGCTAATGAGCAACAACAATGGAAAACGTTTATTGAACGGTTCTGTTCAATTACAGCCAATTCCGTTTGACTGTAAAACAACTTCCGTTCAGAACGCGCGTTTGTGACGTAAATTTTTGACGTTTCCACGGCCAATTTTAATCGTTGCCAAGGGGTGGGAACAAGATTTTAAATGTAAACAAGTTCGATACGATGTGGAAAGTGAATAAGAAAGGCAGATCATACCCTTTGGGAAAGGCACTTTCCCTTGAAAGAAGGGTTAATATTGTGGACAAAATTCAAAGTAAAGGAGGAGACAAACATACAGGAATTTTCCTTGGCAGATTTACTGATGTAGCAGACAAGCTGGGAGTGACAACTGCCACTGTTTCAAAAGTATGGGAGCAATACTGTATGACGAATGATTTGGCGCCGAAGCGTGGAGGGGGGAATAGAAGAAGTTTGTCAGACGGGGATCTCCAATTAATTGAAGTCTTGAAAAGAAGCAAACCTTCAACAACGTGTTCAGAACTCGCTGAATGCTTAACGAGTTCGGCATCTTCCTGAAGGTTGGACATTGAATACATCACTTTGCAATGCTGTTCAGAAAAACCTCCCGAGTGGTCCATTTTCATTCAAGCAAATTACTACTGTTCCACAAGAACGTTTTACCCTAACCAATATGGCATACACTCAACTTTTTGTAGATTACTTGCATGGCAAAGATCCATACACGCTCAAATATTTTGACGAATAATAATGGCCACGCACCCGTAGGACAGAGGGCTGTTGAAGTACGTAGATACAGCCAAACCACTAATCTTACTGTTAACTTATTTTGTGGTTTGTCCGGTGTCGTGTACGCGAACACTGTGAACGGCCCCTCGAATACTATTGAGTTCCTTCGATTCTTTGAAGAAGCATTCAACTCGATAAATCCTAATACCGGATGACCATGTTTAGAATTCGGGGACGTTATAATTATGGACAATTGTCCATTTCACCACAACGAAGGCGGCGAGGTTTTGGAAGATTTCCTGAACGATTTAAATGTTGAACTAGTCTATATGCCTTGCTATAGTCCAGACTTTAATCCGGCTGAATATGTGTTTGGCAAAATAAAAACCTTGTTGAAATATAGATTGCAGGATTTAACTAATACAAATCTGGTTGAATCTCTTTACACCGCCATAAGTTTGGTAACTGTTGGGGACATGCGAGAGTTTTTCAGAATTACTGGTTACTTAACAGTGTATATTTTTCAGGTTTATACACCTTATGAAATACTGTAGAGTGTATTGGCTGAAGTAATCATACCCTCAGTAATCCCAGAACTGTTATTAGTAAATAATAAATTGGATTATTTACTGAAGGCTCTGGAATCCAGGGTAAAGTAATCGCTGTTACTGTATTAAATCTATTGTTGTTAATATAATTTCTGTTTGCATTCACATGTACATCATACTACATGTATTATTATTAAATATCGTCATCATTTACTGTAATATTGATAATATTGACAATATTGTATTGTAACTATATATAGTTTTTGTACATACATTTTATACAGTAAAACTTCCGAAACTTCGTTTGTAACACACATTCAATTAAAGTGCATATGTGATATGACACAAAACTTCAATCAAAGTGCATATGACACAAATTACTGGTAAAGTGCTTAAAAAATTCAATTGCTGTATAAGCAAGTTTTACAAATCAGAATACAAAAATATTTTTAGAATACAAAAAAAGGTTTTGCAACAATATAAATTGAACATTCCGAAAAGCTTACCTATAAACAAGTCTGCTATACTATAATACTGTAATTTGTGTGGCATTTATTAAAAAACCTATGATTTATTACACTAATATGAACAGTGTGTTTATGTGTTGAACATGTTTCGTCAACAAAAATACTAATATACCCATGACGTGTTATTTCAAAAACGCCTAGCCCAGGCGTTTTTGAAACGATCTACGTCATTTGTATATTAGTAACCTGGGCGAAAGAATATCAAGAGTATCAAAACTGCTATAACAACAAACTGAAAAATTTAATATATGGAATGTTTTCAAATCACAGTATGTATTACAAGCCATTTGTGAACAGCTGTTACTGTACAACATATATGACAACTAGCGTTAGATGATCACAAGCAATTATACTTATGTGAATGAGAATAATATAATATAAATGGTAATATCAGTAAACACCAACGCAACGTGCAAGAAAGGATGAAAATCATGAATGCCATAGCAAGCTCGATAATTGGGAGGGGGATATTCATATATTCGTGTTCACAGACCATAAAAACAGTAGATTTCAAAAGAAATTAATAACGCAGAACACAAACATATGAATACGAGCCCTCCCCAATTATCGAGCTGGCTACGGCACTGAAAATGAGACGAACTAAATATAAAGTTTATACTACATCAGTTTCGATCGTTTTATGCGTGGATCAATGTCCTTTCCGCTGCTGAAGTTGTAACAAAGCAGCAGTGGCATTTGCCTCAAATTCAAGATCTGCGTTTGCAATTACAGGCACGTCATTAGCTGTGGCCTCATCCTCGGCCTGATTATTAAAATCACTGTCCGCCACGGTGCACTGTCCCATACTTTCCGATTCCATTTCCTCTTGTAGCTTAAGAGCTAACTGTAAATCCTGCGTCTCCTGATGTGATGCAGAAAAAAAAACTGGCATTTGCCACACCACTTGAGCAATTACTTGAACTATTTGGTTTCACAATTGTGTGCGTCGAAGAGACTGAAGAAGAAAAACCTTGTTTGAGTTTTTTTTCTTTCGTTTTAATAGTATCAGTCGGGAAAACTATACCATATTCATTAGAGAGGAGGCGTTTCTGTGAAGACATTCGATGATCAGTTGAAGAATTAAAAACAACGCTGTGAACAAGAGCCATGACGTTTTCTCTCGACGACAGTCTTCCTTGCAAGTGTTTTTGAAGAAGAGCAACGTCTTTGTTTAAAACCACCCAGTTTCTACGGCCAAACGAAGTGTATCTATCTGGATATTCTCGTACGATACAATCCTCAATTTGCTTTGAAGCAGATGATAACACTTTCTCGGTTACACGTTCTGCATTTTGAACTTCATTTCGTGCAGCAATGAGAGTTAGTTCGAGTTTAGCAACTTCTCTCTGCAACGTCGTAATTTCCATTTTCTCGACGCCATGTTTTGAAGTAATGCCACAAGAGTAAGGTGATTTGCATGGACTGTACTCGCATCTCTTTTTCATGTGTCCAAGTTTTAAATGACAACTCCCGCACGTAACCTGATTTCCATTCCCTACTTTAGCTCTGTTTTGCTGTAAAGCGGTGTTAATTTTATTTTCGCGAATCAAGAGTTCTCGCTTTTTAATTTGTAACTGACGCTGAATATCGTCGACAGCTTTTTGTTGTTTCTTGGCGTACCTTTCTAATGGCAGCATTACACGCGAATTGTTACTCTTGGCCTTGGGCTGAAATGTTTCGTCGTCTTCAAAGTCGTCAATGTCGTCGGGATACATGAGTTCATTTTGATCATTGGTCGAGTCAGATAAAGCGATCAATCTTCTCACGCGAGGCTGCTGGATTGTCAGTAGAGTAATTTGACCATGACTTTGACTCGTATCAAAATCGATATTACAATGTTTTTCGTTCATTGACTCAAAAGATGGGGCAGACGGCAGGCCAGGTGAATCAAATGTGAAAGCCTTAACGGAGATTGTTTTTTCCTTCTCTAAGAGTCCATTTATCTGGAAAGTAAAGTATGACGGAGACAAATCTACTTCAACATTGTCTTCAAAAACTGTCAGTTGCAAAGATGAACCGACCTTGTCAAGGTGTGGAACTTCGGAGATTAAACGTGTTTTGAATTCTTCGTAACACAAATTTATGAGATCCTCTTCTCTAATAAATATTGGGGTGATCCTTTTAGTAGTATAATAGTCGTAAATAATTTTAATTTTTACCAACGACATGATAAACAGTCAGAAAGTCCAGAGAATGCGAAAGAACTGCAAGCCTTCGAAATTTATAGAATCTTGTTCCCGCCCCTTAGCAACGATTAAAATTGGCTGCAGAAACGTCAAAAATTTACGTCACAAACGCGCGTTCTGAACGGAAGTTGTTTTACAGTCAAACAGAATCGGCTGTAATTTTTGATGAAAATTGTTTATTATTCGGTGCTGTCCAACGTTTTATTTTAGATACTTGTCGCTTCTCCTAGCAATGCTTTGTGTGTGTATGTGTCTTGTTGTTTCTGTAACACTGTCTTATTTTGTTGTTTATTTATACAGAGTACTGTACTTAATATATGTGTGTTATTTTGTGTAAATACTTTTATATATCCTTTTTTTTATATATGTGAGCCCCCTAGATAAGCAAGGCTTTTTGGGCAAACATTCAAATAAAGTTTATATAAAAATATGGCACCCTCTTTTACAAAAAAATGTTTGAGAAAAACTACTGTATTCAGTGGCGCCGTGGCCGGGGGGGGGGGGGGCCCATGGCCTCCCCTATTGTGGAGACCCGTCGGAAAATTGGTGAATGTTGTTGGAAATTTTTGGAAAATTGTCAACGTTGTTGGAAATTGTCAAATTTTCCGAGGTTGGTATATTCGGAAAATTTTGGATAAATGAAGAAAATTGGTGATGTCCAGAAAAATTTTAAGATGTAACGAAAAATTTCTGGTATGTCTGGAAAAATTTTTTGACCCCTAAATATGGTACACTGACCAAAAATTGGCGCCGGGTTGGCGCCGGGGGGGGGGGGGGG